GAAAGGCTTTCTCGCGACGTCGCTGAAGTGGAACTGTCCTGTCACGTTGCGTTGACGGGCGTTTGCGTTAATCCCAAGTCCACTTGAATGACAGAAGCGCAGAGTCTCTGAAACGCTTCTGCGCGATCAGGATGAGGAGATCTGCTTTACTCCCGTCCGCATCTGATAATCCCCAATGAAGTGGAACTGTCCTGTCACGTTGTATTAATGGGCGTTCACGTTAATCCAATTCCGCTTTAAAGATAGGATAAGCGCAGTGTCTCTGAACCGCTTCCATGCTATCAGGATAAGGACGGAAAAGTGATCCGCTTTGCTCCTGACCCGGTCCCATCTCCGTCGAATAACCTCCAATGGAGTGGAACGGTCCTGTCACTTTCCAATAACGGAAAAGTCCGTTCATGACAAGTGAGAGAACCATTCCACTTCACTGACAGGAGAATGATGAGAGAACCGTTATGTCGTCTGGTCGTCTTTAGTACAATCGCGGATAATTAGAATTCATGAATGGGATAATGTCCAGATAAATGCAATCTCATATGATAATCTTATTGCAATCATGCAATAAGAATGGGAAAAGGATGTCCTTTTCCCCATGTGATAATCCCCAGTGCTTCCCAAACTTTGGTCCTCCAGGCATTTGCGCTTTAAGCCCCAGACTGACTGGGGATTCTGGGAGTTGAAGTGAAATGCAGCTGCTTCGCTCTCATCCTTATATCTTCACTCTGGGATTCAGTCACATAACAAGCAGTTGCTTCACTCCCGTCTGCTTCAGTCCATTTTATATCAGACGCTTTCATTTCTAAGTTCCGAAATGTTTGGGAATCACTGCTTTCAAAACTTAGAGTTGTTGATGTGTGCCTTTGAGTTGCTTCCGACTTATGGCAACCCTAAGGTGAACTTCTCACAGAGTCTTCTTGGCAAGCTTCTTCAGAGGGGGTTTGCCATCCCCCAAAGTTTGGGGATCACTGCCTTAAAACTTTGTGTTGTTGTTCTTGTGTGCTTTCAAGTCATTTCCGAGTTATGGCAATCCTAAGGTGAACTTCTCATGGGGTTTTCTTGGCAAATTTCTTTCAGAGGGGGCTTGCCATTGCCATCCTCTGAAGCTGAGAGAGTGTGACTTGCCAAAGGCCACCCAGTGGTTTTTCATGGCTGAGCCAGGGTTCGAACCCTGGTCACCAGAGTCCAACACTCAAACTTCAACACCACACTAGCATTAGTCACCCCAGAGTCAGGTCTTCCCAGACTCCACATCTTCCAGCCTTACAAAGCTGTAAAGGGTGACTAGATGTCCTCCTTTTCCAAGACCTGTCCTACATTGCAACCTTCTGTCCAGGAGGAATTTCAAAATGTCCTCCATTTTGAGCAGGGCTAAGAAGCATGGATTTACATTTATATGACTGTTGTTAGCTTTTATTTGGGAATCTCCCACATTTTGCACTGCCATGTCCTCCTTTGCAGAAGGACATCTGGTCTCATCCTGCAATGGAGGGAGAGGGAAGAAGGCCATGTGTAGATGAAAGTGGGGGACGATGAGGATATGGGCTCCCCATAAGAGTGATGGCTCCCCCTTTAATTCTCAAATTTCTAGCATTGCAGAAACTTAAAACATCATTCGAATATTTAGAAATACTGTGTGAACAGTAAAAAGAAAACAGGCAGGCAGAGTTACACCAAGAGGAACACCAACAAGTGTGAGAATACAGTCGGCCCTACATTTTCATGGGGGATCCATTCCAGATCCCTCCCCCTGCGAAAATGGAGACTCGTGGATATTCAAGCCCCATAGGCTTGAATGGGACATGTTTGCACACAAGGGGCATGCCCCATTGATATTAATGGAAGTCGCCCCTCCATAAATAGTCAAAACCACAGATCTCAAATCCATGAGTAACTGTACTTTTCAGTCTGAGAAATGTGGGACCTAAAGGGAGAAAAAAAATCACTTGATGGGGCAGAAATCTTCACCAGGGGAGCAATGCTCTCATGTTGCCCTTCTTCCTATTCAGCCTTGAAGGAAGTATCCAAAGGGATCTTGTAGCACCTTTGAAACTAACTGAAAGAAATAGCTTTCATAGACTTCAGCTTACTTCTTCAGATGCATGTCTTAGGAGTGGAAAATCCAGAGACTGACCTATAGAAGTTATTTGTGTGTGAGAACTTCAGTTCAAATTCAAAACCTATGGGGATGAAAATGAACCTTGGAGGAAGGTTGTCTTAAATTGTCTGCTTGGAATTAACCAAAGGGGTTCATATTTTAATATTCATCTTCTTGTTGCTGTGTGCCTTCAAGTTATTTCCGACTTATAGTAACCCTAAGGCAAACCTATCTCAGGATTTTCTTGGCAAGTTTCTTCAAAAGGGGTTTGCCATTTGCCATCCTCTGAGACTGAGAGAGTATGACTTGCTCAAGGTCATCTATTGGGTTTCCATGGCCAAGCTGGGATTTGAACCCTGGTTTTCCAGTGTTCTAGTTCAATGCTCAAACCACTACACCACACTGGCTCTCTTTTATTAATTCTCTTAATATTAATCATGGACCCCGAATATCAATCTTCCCCCCTCCATTCACCCATTTTATAGAAGGGATCAAGCCTCTTTTGTCGAAGGGGATGTTTCTGCAATAAGAGGACTTGGCAATACATTCTATCTCTCCCCAATGCAATTGAATTCAAAGATTTTTTTTAAAAAAATATTTTATTAATTTTTTACACATTATAAAAATTAATTTTCATGCTTATATATGATTACATCTACACACATCTACTTCCACTTCATACAAACAATTCTTATTTCCCATTAGCATTATTTGTCTATAATTTGATTTAAATATGTCTTATCTCATATCTTATATCTAATTGTTAATTTTACTTATCACAGCTTAATGCATGCTTCATCCCCCATTTCTTATTTCATTTCAAATATTCATGCTTTAATCCATAAATTCTGCCACCGCTAAATCCCCCCACTTATAAATTAATAATTATTCCACAGTCATTTTTTTAAAAAAATATATTTCCATCTTTTAATAATCAGATTAACTTGTTCATCTCTGCCATATCTAGCAATTTTAGCAACCATTCCTCTATCGTCAGGAGTATATCTTTTCTCCATCTCTGGGCAATGAAAATCCTAGCAACTGCTGTCATGTAAAATAATAATAATAATTTTTAGCATTTTTTTTAAAATCTAAATCATCCTCAATAAAGTTAAGCAAAGACATTTCTGGATTCATTTTTAATCTTTTGTTTGTATTTTCCTCTATTTTACTAGTAAGTTGGTGCAATAGAGATAGGTAAGTAAATAAAAACAGGTAGCATTGAATGTTGCTGTATACTGAAAGGAGATGAAGCATGCTTTAAGTTGTGATAACTATATAAAGAAAATAGTCTGGCCAAATCAAACTCATAAGATTGTTTTAATTGAAATCTCTTCCCAACTCCCCTATCCTTCCATATGCATCCCAGTCTTAAAAAGTTACTTTACTGGACTACGATAATGCCAGGAGTAGTCTGGTACACATCAGACCCAAATTTACTTAGGTTTTGCAAAGGAGCTACTCAATCCTGGCAAGGCTGTTGTAAAAAATATTCTTCAATATTTCCATGAATGCCACCTAGAACTCATGAAAGAAAGGATGGGATGACACTGTACTAAATAATGTATCTATTTCCAAAAATAAAGAAAGAAAGAAGTCCACACCCTTCACATATTAAGTATGCTATGGGAATGGAAAACAAGCTCTTTTTATCACTGCAATTGTGGGCACCAGAGGGCAGTTAAAGATGTAACTGATCAATGTGACTTTCAGACTCTGTTGTTGTTTCATGATCTCATTTGAGGAATCAAGAGAGCCAGCGGCGCATAGTGGTTTGAGCAGTGGACTATGACTCTGGAAAACAGAGTTCAAATCCTCACTCAGCCATGAAACCCACTGGGGGTGACCCTGGGCAAGTCACACTCTCTCAGCCTCAGAAGATGGTAAACCCCCTTTGAAGTAACTTGTCAAGGAAATCCTGTGATACATTCACCTTACGGTTTCCGTAAGTTGGAATTGCTGTACTTGAAGGCACATAACAATAAAAGGAAGAGGATTCTCCTCCTGATTCAGTGATTCTTAACTTTTGGGAGTCAAAGGCTCTTTTAAGAATCTGATTGAGGCTATGGGTTCCCTCCCTAAGAGAAATTCACTGAAGCACAATTGTCAAAAGAACAAGCAGAAATGTGGAGAGAGTGTCATTGCTTTGTGCTCACTTCATAGATACCCTGAGGCCCATTCATAGATCAAAAGATGTGCTGTGTTGAATCCATTGTTTGAGTGTTAGACTAGATTCTGGAGACTAGTATTTGATTCCCAGCTCATCCATGAAATCCACTGGGTGACCCTGGGCAAGTCACATGCTCTCAGCCTCAGGGGAAGGTAATGACAAACCTCCTCTGAACAAATCCTGCCAAGAAAATCCCATGATATGTTCGTCTTAGAGTTATCATTAATTGGGAATTACAGTGGTCCACCCACATTCACTGGGGTTGGGGCTCAGGACCCCCGTGAATGTAGGGAAACCACAAATAACAAAAATACTATGTTTTTACCTGAAAGAACACCTCTCTAAGAATCTCTAGGTCCTCTAGTTCAACTCTGTGGCCAACATCTGCCAGACATTGACCATAGAATTGCAGTGGAGGAGCTACAAATACCTAGTGGAATGTTCTCTTTAGGAATCTCTAGGTCCTTCAGTGTGACTTTTGGTTAAAGTTGACCATAGAGTTGTGCTGGAGGACCTAGAGATTCCTACAGAGAACATATTAATACAATCCATGTATAATCAAATCTGCAAATGTGGAGGGATGACTGTACTTGAAGGCACACACTCCATTTGTAGTGAGCTTCTTCTTATAACCCCTTTCAAAACCGACATTACAAAGCTTTTTTTTTTGGGGGGGGGGGACCCAGTACCATCCCAATATAGTGAGAATGCTGAAGGAAACAGAACAGTAGGGTCTTCCAGAAGTGTGAGTTTCTCTAGTATAGCTTCTTGGGTTTTGCCAGTTGGTGTCACCATCACATCCATGTCTTCCCTTCTTTTAGGTGGCGGTTTCTTAGATCTGCATGGGGGCTCTTTCAAAGTCTTTTTTAAAAAAACAGATTACTGAAGTGATCCTATGGTTTAGAAGACAATTTTTTCTCCCTCTTTCTTTATATTATAGTTATTATTCTTGTTAGCTGCCCTTGAGCTGGCTCCTACTCATGGTGGCCCTATGGATTAGACATCTCCAAGATTCCCTTTCCTACACTGTTCTGCTTAGATCCTACAGACTCAGCCCCATATCCTCCCTGATTGAGTCTATCCATCTGGTGCATGGTCTTCCTGTTTTTCAGATACCTTCTACCCTCACTAGCATTATCATATTTTCTAGTGAGTCATGCCTTCTCATGATATGGCCAAAGTATGACTTCTAGGAAGAGTTCAGATCTGATCTGTTCTACGATCTATTCATTTCTTTTTTCAGTCATCCACGGTATCCTCAGCACTCTTTTGCAGCCCCATATTTCAAATGAGTTGATTTTCTTTTTATCAGCTTTCTTCACTGTCCAGCTCTCACATCCTCACATGCTGATGAGAAATATAATGGCTTAAGACAATTCTAACAATTTCTCATCAAGATATGCTCAACTGCATATCTTTACACTTTAGGATTTGTCTAGTTCTTTCATGACTGCCCTCCCCATTCATAATTGTCTCCTTATTTCTTGACAGTAGTCTCTGTTCTGATCAATTGTTTGGTCCAACATATTAACTATTTCATTTTTTTTCATTGTCTAGGATAAATTTATGTTGATCCTCCAATCATCATTTTTGTTTTATGTTTAGGAGTAAATTTGCATTTGCACTTTTTTATTTGACCTTTCTTAGTAATTGTTCCAAGTCTTTAATGTTTTCCACTAGTAGTATGGTGTCATCTACATATGTTAAATTGCTGATGTTCCTTCTATTTTCACTCCTCCTTCTTTTGAGTCTAAAACTGCTTTTCATATGATATTTTCTGCATACAAGTTGAACAAATAGGGTAATAGGATGTGTCCCTGCCAGACCCTTTTCCTAACTGGGAGCCATTCTGTTTCTCCATATTCTGTTCTAACACTAGCCTTTTGTCCTAAGTACAGATTTCTCATCAAGACTATCAAATGTAGTGGCACTCCCCTGTCTTTAAGAGCATTCCATAGCTTTTTGTGATCTATTTAGTCAAAGGGTTTGCTAAAATCTATAAAGCACATGCTGGGGTTTTTTTCCCCTGGGATTTTTTGATGTACTCCATTAACTGTCATATGTTTGCATATATTATGCAAAAGAGCCATTTTCCCAATCTAATGGTGCATGCGTGATAGCTCTGTAACTCTATGGAGGAACAAAGGGAAAGAATAGAAAAGAATAGAAGCAGACCTTTCTTTGGTTCTGGTATGTTTTAGAATGAAAAAGAAACCCATTTGAGGGTTGGAATCAAATGTTGCAGTTAATGCTGATAGGTACCAGAAAATAATCCGGAACAAGAGAAACATAAATTGGATATTAAATACTGGTACCTATCTCTAAAAGATTTGCCCCATCAGGAAGAGTCCCTGGTTTGTGAAGAAGATGAGATGTGAATTGGGATCATTTTAGTTCACATTTTGAGAAGTTCATACATTGTGCAAATTAATACCACCATTCAGTTTCTTTGGATGACCCCAGTGTCTAGTATTATGGAAGACAAAGAAAAGAAAGCCTCTCTGACCAGTTTCTGCATCCTATGCATAATTTGACACATTTCTATCATGATCCTATCATGTTTACCACCTAGTCAATAGCATTTTTAGCACTATAGTATTGTCTCTGATATGCAATGACCTGAGATGTGTGTACTGTCTTATTGTCTTTCATACACATGCAAGACTCCAGTTCCCTCCCTGCTTCATGGGAGGTTTCATGGGTAGCTGCAAAGAGGATGGGGGAAAAAAAGCATAGGTAATATGTGCCTCTCCACTTTATCATTTGCATTTTTTCCAAAATTGAGAGAGGCTTTCATTAACACCAAAAATGTTTGAATGTATGTATTCTGGGAATAGTGTTAAGAGATGTTTTGAGTGATTCCAGTGAAGATATAATTTCTTAAATGAATTGAAAATTATTTCTATATTTTATTTCAAAATGCAGTTACATCCCCAGTCAATGATTTTTAAATAGAGAAGGCGGGGGGGAGGAATTTAGAAAGCTGACTGCTTCCCTTCCTCCAAAATGCAAACTCTTCTCTGCAAACCAAGGATGCTTTTTGATTTTTAGGTCTGGCTTGGGACTTCTGTGTCACAAAATATGTGAGATCTGTATCACATCAGTGCTTTATGAACACTGCTGAATTCAAGGGAGTGGGGGAGAGTCTTGGTTTTCAGATATATTATTGTTACTTAGCAGAAACACCAGACCACAAACGGCAGAGCACAGATAGGCCTGTATGACTCACAAAGGTCC